GACACAGGAAATACAGTTCGTAAAATGAACGGCTTCTGAAAAAGTAATCTGTGTTTTATCCCATAGCCTTAAAAAAATGAGAAGTGGATTGGGTTTTTTTTTTTCCTTTTGATCTCATATTTGTTGCTTCTTTGCAGCTTATTTTTATTCCAGCTTATTTATTTTTTTGTATTTTTGGAAACAGGTTTTGAATTCTGCATGGGATTGCAGTTCTCCGATGAATTTAGCCCCTCTTTGCAAAATTTACGCCCTCTGGCTAGTTCTTGCATCTAATTATCCCAGCTGGAAAGTCTTACGCTTTCTAAAAGCAAAGTGAAGGCCTGTAGTAATAACCAGACATCTCCTGAATGGTACCATTGCTGGAATGTTTATATTTAATTTTCTATGGTATGATAGTGTTTGAATACCCAGATCAGCAAAAATTCGAATTTTCTAGCTATGCAGCCGGCAGCTTCTTCAATTTCTTTGAATTTTCTATCGAGTGGTGATTAATCTGTGGCGGCTCTGATTTCCGTCATTTGGAGATACCCGTTTATAAGCTGCGGTGTTTTTCAGCGGATATCTTACGATACGCTTTCACGCTTTTATGTTAAAGGTCACATGGATAATTTTGGAAAGCCGGCATTATGTTATCCGAGATACAGAGGTTTAAAAATTTCTACATATTTCACTCACCGGAAGAGGAAAAAACACTTATCGGAAATGTTTCCGGTTGTTTTTTTTTCGAAGAAAAACATCAGAAGCTAGTTTTGAAACAATGTTTTTTATAGTGTTCTAGGGACTCGCTGCAGAAGTGAATTCTGGGAAACTAAAAATATTTTTTCCTCGCGGCCATTTCTGTGGCCGGAGTAGAGTCCGATCATAGGTGCGAAACCGCAGATATCTGTAGAACTCCCACTTCTTATTTTTCACCACTTTCAGGCCCGAGTAGTCGTGCGCGCCTACCAGCAGGACTAAAAGTTATCAGGAAGCTTGGCGGCGATCGTTTAGAAAAAGAGAACTATCCAGAAGCTGATGATGAAAGGTTAGTGCAAGATTTCCAAACGCATAATTTTGCGCAGCAAAATCAATTTTCAAGTGTCGAAGAGCTGTCGATTGGCGCAAATTTCATAGTTCCTTTAATGTCTTCAAATTCCGAGCTGGAAAAACTACTTGCTCCTAAACGGCCCTTAAAAAGAAAAGCCATTGACAGCTTTGTCAACTGTTGATTGCTGTTAGCACCTGTTGCCATCTGGACTATTTCCCGACAGCCTTCGCTTTCCATAGCGAGCAAATATGGTGAAGCTTTTGACTGGTTACTTCGAATTTGGTCCATTGATTTTAGCATTTCAGATCTAAGTTTTGCATTTTACGGGTAAAATTAATGTGTTTTTTTTTAAATGAAATTACGGTGCACCTTACATTTGCGCCCTCTCAGTTAACTTTTTGTTTAATTTTGAACAGTGCTTCCTTCACTGTATTAGCTGGACTTTGCCATCTTTAATTTACTTTCGTATCTTTCTTTCATCAAGGAATTTCGCATATTGTAATCGTAAAAGTACCCAAAGTCTCGTTGTTTTCTTCATTTCGTCCGCCATCCAATACAACCCCGCCCGACAATTGCTTTAAATGCTTCTTACCATTGTTAAAATTGTGTTTTCCAGCTTAGATTTACTAACTTGTGCGTCTTACACATTGGCGGACCCGGGGGGATTTCCGCGCCCCCAGGCGTTAGGTAGTAGGTATTTTACTGTAGAAAAGTCTACTTGGAACACCCTGCCGTCCTCCCCGCCCCCTGAAGCGCTAAAACCAATGGCACAAATTAGATGTCACAAATCAGAAACCCCACCATATTTGGGGCGGGGGAGGAGGTAGCGGACCGTTGAGTGCTGAGTGCAGTGACGAGCAAGGGAGGGATGTGCAGTGAAACGTTCGAAGGGGGGGGGGTAGT